GTCAGCAGGTAATTCGAATCATTTTCGAAAACTACAAAACAGCCAGGAAGATTCTCGGGAAAAGCCATAAAACCTCCCCCCCGCGACGAGACCTTTGTGTCCATTTCCCCTCAAACTATTAAAAAAGTGCCGCATGTCCCAAAATCACTAGTACTGCACTTTTCGTCTCTCTCTTTCCTCCCCCCCCCCCCCCGAAATTGCACGTTTATGAACACGGCCCAGTGCCCAAGGCAAATTACATCATCAGGGATACCCAACAACAAGGACGCTGGCCGGGGCCTAGGTCCCACCTACACGAAATAAGAGATGTTGACCATAGATAGCGAAGATCAAATAAGAGATATTGACCGTAGATAGCGAAGATCAAATAAGAGACATTGACCGTAGATAGCGAAGATCAACGGTCAGAATATCTTGATCCGTGCAGGTGGGACCTTGCCCCGGGCCGGTTAAGGCCGCTCTGTAAAAATGGCGGGAAAGTGTTTTGCAGGGGGTGCAAAAATGACCCCGAAAGTGATTCTGGGGTCTACGGCTCCTTTTTTCTCGTTTGGGGGGAAATGGATACAAAGGTTTCGTCGCAGGCGGGCGAGGTTTTATGACTTCTACCAAGATTGACAGAAACTTCAGCAAAAAGAGCCGTAAAGAGGTGCCTTATGGACGCGGATTAATTAAGAAACTTCAGCAAAATTCAGCCGGCAATCTCACAGAGAAACTTCAACGAAAAACAACCCTAGATGGAAATCATCCATAGCATCACGGGGAGGATTTTCGTTATTTTATCCTTTCGAAAAATGAAAAAAAATAGCATCGCGGTGCAAGAAAATCACTCCCTGGGCACCGCGGAGAGAGGGGGGGGGGAGGAGGAGAAGGGAGAGAGACATGGACACACAATAACAAAGACTAATGAGCTGAAACAAAAACGAATCTGCAAATTAAATAAATCACTGTTGGCTTAGACACGTCAGCGACAACCCTTCCTTTTGTCTTAACGAACTTCCCAGTATATTGGCGGGGGCAAGCACCTCCTCACGTCAGCGCCAATCCCCCAAATTCCATTTGCAACAATCACAGGAGACCCTTATTCATTCCGATGCAGGTATCCACTCTTTCATTAGCGCAGACACGCGGTCACACACACACACACACACACAC